TACGGAAGACAAACCAACGCACATCCCAAAACGCGAAGTTCGCCGGGATCTGAACTTCGCCGGGGCGCGACATGGAAGGAGACGGCGTAAGAGATAGACCTCCAACATGATTTTCGGCAGTTGTTGAAATGATCGAATATCCGGGATTTGCACGACAAGCACGCGGTGTAGCGTCTACTAGCAACTGTTGCCTCTCACACCTCCCTCCACTGCTACACATCTAATATTGTAGGCAGCAAAACGACATCTCATACCTCTCCCTACTTTTCCCTTAAACACCAGGTCTGACTACCAGTTCAGACGAGACGACATTCGGGGTTCCCTTGGGATGACGTCGTGAACCGAAGCCATACAAAGCATTCATTGATGATCCGTATAAGTGGATCTGCGGTTCGTCTACCGATGCCCTCTCCGAAAAGATGGACATGTTTTTCATCCTAACAAACACTCCCAGTCGTGCTAAGGAATTCCCTATACAGTCCCGTATGTCGGACACTTTCTCCTCGACCTCACGATGCAACGAAAAGTTTTGGACCCGCCCTACTATCACCAAATCGCGCCACCCATTTACACGTACAGGCCCACACGTCCGCACGAATTTGGACCCCTCAATCACCACCTCGTTCCGTGACACAAGCACAACTGCATCGACGAGGTTCCTGCTCTTGTTCGAAGCAGCGATACATAGAACTCTGGCATAATCAGTCCCCGACACAGTCAATTGCACACAACACTATGACACAGCTTGTGGAGAATTCCCGGGGCACCGGAGTGGGTACTGCCCCAGGAACGAGCAGTGACGAGCGCAGTCCACCAACTCTTGTTTCCTCGAGCCTCCCCAAGTTCGTGGCGATGACCTGACGTAGTGGCACTCGAGGCGGCTGAAATGGCGGCTAATGCAGCCAAGTGCTCTGCGCATATGGTTCAGGAACTTGTGTCCGAGGACAGCGTCATACACCAGGATAAGGTTTCTGAACTCCAACATGTTGGCGAACTTGTACTGGCTTGCCCATGGACAACGACTCTCCATCGTGGCCCAATTCCCATCGCACCACTCGTCAATATGCAGTCCCATGCACGGGACGATGGTCATCCAGGGGTCCTCGTCGAAGTCCTCTGCGGTCGCTCCGTGGATCGTAGTCACATCGTTAAAATACCACACGGATATCGCGCAAGGACGAAATGGTTCTGCCAAGCGAATGTGCGTCTCGGGACTCATGGTCTGTGGTGTCAAGAACATCGACTCCATGATTCGTGGTGTCGAGAAGGTCGCCTCCATTACGCACCCTACACACCACGTGCACATACCAAACTAGACACACTGGTACGGAGACACTCGTAAACACGTCGTGTTCTGCGATCTGCGACCTATGGCATTAGACAGACCGCACGCTCGAAGATCTGAATCCGGGTGGTCGACTTGGTTGGTGTTCACTTCTACCGGCCAGTAGGCCAGCCGCAAACATGTCCCACGAGAGGCGGGAACGTCATGTCCGTCGTAATCGGAACTTGGCGAGACTGCGCGGGAGAGACAAAGGTGTCTCTAAAACTCGCCGTCTTGAACTTTTTTGAAGTTCGGATCTCGGTGGACATGACATTTTTACGAATCCAAAGTTGTGGCAATCCACCGGGGGCTAGAAACTCCACAGTCAGAACCCACACCACCAGGGATTTGAAGCACGCCTGTGTCCGAACTTGACGGCCGCACGAGGAACCGTGCACGAGAAGTTTGGATCCCAACGGACTTCGCATTTTATCGAATCCGAAGTCCGCCCGGGTTCGAAATTGACGAGTGTCCGAGGAACCGTGCACGGCAGGTTCGGATCCACAGCCCAGCAGACGGGCCGGAAACATGAATTGCGAAAGGACGAAATCTCAAGTTCGCCGATATCCCAGCGGACTTCAAGTTTTTAAGAATCCGAGGTTGTGGCAATCCCCCAGGCGCCTAAGTCCGCATTCTGAACCCAAACAATGCGAAAAGCGAAGTTCGTCGGGATCCGAACTTGACGTATGTACGAGGAAACGTGCAGGAGAAGTCCGGATCCCAGCGGACTTCGCATTTTCACCAAACCGAAGTTCACCGAGGTCCAGACTTGACGACTGTACCAGGGACCTTGCAAGCGAGGTTCGGATCCACAACCCTGCAGGTGGGCCGCAAACATGTCTTCCGAAAGGCGGGAATATGAAGTTTGCCAGGATCTGAACTTGGCGAAATTGCGTGGGAGAGACACACATGTTTGCCAAACTCACCGTCCAACAATTTTTTGAAGTTCGGATCCTGGCGGACTTCGAATTCCTGCACATCCTCGGCTGTGGTTGTGGGGCGGGGTTGCGAAACGTGTTCGAACAGGTGCACAAGCTCGCCGGAATGCGAACTTCTTCCGGTGTTTGAATGCGCGATCAGTTCATTTTGATTGCGCGATCAGTTCGCCAAAGTTCGACGTCCGACGAGGTTCGCCGCCCACCGAGGTTTGATGTGAAGCCAGGTTCCATGCCCAACATGGTTTGATGTTATGCAAGGTTCGATGAGCAACAACATTGTGTGATCCGTTCACGGGCACATGATCAATTGCCTTCTGGATTCTCTGCGAAGAACGGATTTGTCGCAGATCGGTCGCTCGATGCCGCTGCTTCCAACGTTTGGAGATTAATGATCTGGTCGGCGAGCGACTGGTCTATCGAACTTGTTGGTAATCTTCGACAGAACACTCAATTGGTCAAGAGATCTGCCAGGATCAGCTGTTTGATCGGGTGCTCAGTTGGCGGTTGGTGTGCTAATAGATCAACCACTCGAACAACCGCCAACAGAGCACCCAATCAAACAAGTTATCATGGCAGATCTCCTGACCAATCGACTGTTCGCTCGCCGACGGGTTGATCGCGCACGCACACACGCAGACGCACACACGCACGCACACGCACATCGCCTGCAGGAACACATAATAGGTCACGGTGCTAAAACAACACTCGCACGGACACGCACACACACACAAACACGCACATCGCCGCGGTTTTGATGTTGCCGTTGAGACAAGCCAAACACACACGCGGTGGCAACGTCGGGACAGCCCACACGATCAATCGACCGATCGCGAGTAATCTGTTAGCGTTCCTCGATCGGTCGAATGGATGCGTTTACGATCCCGATGTTGTCTCCTCGTGCACTGATTAATCATCCGTTAGGCGGATCAGGGGCGATATTGTTGGGACAGCAATCAGCATCAATCACCCGATCGTAAGTGGTCGGCTTATGTTTCGTGATGGGTCGGTTCATCGAGTGTACGTTGTAGACATTGTCACCACGTGTTCGAGCGGAGCTTTCTCTGCTGGTCGGTTGAATCGATCACGATTGACCTGATCGTGTTTCGTGATTGGTCGACGGATGCGTTCGCTGTGTCGACATTGCCACCGCCTGTTTTGATCGATCATCCATTGGGCAAAACGGCGGATATGACAGTGGGACAGCACAAAGGATCACATCGAGTGTGGTAAGTGCTCAAGATGTGATTGTGTTTCGTGATTGGCCACCACGTGTTCGATACGACCTTTCATGATTCGCCAGACAGACACTCGCATCTCCACTCGTTCAATGTGCCCAATCACACACACACGCGCAAAAATGACGTGGAAACACCTTCGCACGCATCTTCGCGCGTTCAATGTGCCCAATCACACACACACGCGCAAAAATATGCACAGACAGGCACACACACACAGCGCCCTCACACGCCGCCCACACACACACACGCCCCTCAGATCCTGACATGCGCACGATCCTTCCTCGCGAGTGTGGCATACACGTCATACAACCACACACACAATAAAACACGCACTCGAATACACACACACAAAAACAATCACACAGACACACACGCGCACGCACAAACACACACTAGCACACACACACACACACACACACACACACACATCCACCCGCACACACGCAAACACGAACTCTTTTAATTTGCGCGAGCATATCATCAGAAAACCCACCCGCACGCGCACACAAACACACACACGTCCTGGCTGCGGGCATACTCACCGTGTGACACTATGGAGTGGAGATTCACGCGATCCGCTCCGTCAATCCAGACAGCAATCTGTCGACCTTTTGGCTTGTGCTTTTCGTTCGCGAGTGTGCTGCGTGGAGTGCTTTGTGTTTGCGAGGGCAGTGCGTTGAGTGGTGGGCGCCGGAAGTGTCGACACGCGACGTCAAATATGACGTGGACAGCGACTTCGAAGGTGGAGGGAGATGCGAGGGCATGGAGGGTGCGTCAGTGCCGGGAAACGAGCGTGGTGAGGAATGTGTGTCCCTACTTTTTGCCAGCTATGGAGCTCCAGATGTGCGGGGTGGTGTTGTTGACGACAGTGGCGGTGCGAGGCTTCCGTCGGGCAGCATCTCCCCAACAAAAACGCAGAACGCATCGTTAATGCCCAGGGCGCTGCTCGTACTTGTAGGCGCGGGGGACTCGAGGCCCCCTCGGGCCTTCCGTTTTGGAAAATCGCGCAGGGTCCGTACGCCACCACACGACTACTCGATCCTCGCATCGAACGGTGGCTCCGCTTTGAAATTTCCCCGACGGGGACCTAATGAGCACGACAAGACAAAAAAGTCCCTGTGGGCCAGCCCTTCCCGGGCGTCATTAAAAAATAGAGCCCTTTTTCCTGGCCGCTCGCGTTCGTGTCGTCGGGTTCGCAGGCCCCGTGCGAGGGGGTCTCAGGCAGCTCGGGGGGGCAGCTTG